ATCAACTGTCTCTCTGAGGCATGTTATCCTTTCTTGCATGCATATACATGGATCCCAAAGTTCCCTGGATTGCCTTTTCCATTATTTTACTGGTCATACAGTTAGAAAAATGTTTACTTTCAATCTGAAAAGCCGTAATATGTACATATAAATATACACCTACACATTTTTTGCAATTTGGGTAGTTCCATTTGATATGAAGGGAATTATTTTAATGTGAGACATGCTGTTTTAATTTCTGTCTCAGTAACAAATTGTCAAAGATCATTCATGCACTTATTAAATTAAAATTTTCATCCATTTTACTGGAAATTAACATAAATATGCAAAACCACAAACAGCATTTGCTCAAAACAAAACAATTCCTTTTCTAGTGTGAAAGGAGAATGTAGTTCTGCACCCTGCCCTCCTGTCTGTGAGGAAAAGGAAAAATCAGGAATACAATGATTCTGTTTGTACTCAAACGGAAATTCACTTCCAAAAAGGCAGAATGTGCTGGCAGTTTGAGTTGCTAATCTGTTTTACTTATCTAAATAATATTAAGTTGATCTCCACAGTGAAAGATGGAAGACTTGTATACAACTGTGCACTAGGAAAACTTCAGACATTATGTAAAAGATACCACAGATTGCTTTAAACAGAGTTTTTGCCCTTTGACTTGGCTAGTTACCATATCAGGGATCAAAAAGGTTTGTTTTGTGAAAATTTATGTGTCAAAATGATGTAAGATATCTGACTCAAATGTTTTTATTCTGTTGCTGATCTTCATTTCCCATTTTACTTCTCACTCTCTATCTTTGAGGCTGATGTGTGACTGCATTCATTTGGAATTTGTGTTTCTCTGTCTACCTTTGCTAAGAATTACAATCAGTCTCCTCTCATGGGACTTCAGTTCTGTACTGAAAGATTGTGAGAACTTCCATGAGAGAGGATGAGCTTGGAGCTTATGTGTGATGAGCACAGCCGAGCTGTGCTAAATTCTCGGTGGAATATTTAGAGATAATTCCTAATATATATTTTAAAGAATGGCAGAATTAACTTATGTAAAATAATAAAGTGCACTGTAAGTAAGAAGACTTAATTGTAGGTTTACGTATTAAAATAAAATCCTTGTAGGTACTAAAGCAATTAGCACATGGAGAATTCTTTTTCCCTACTACTGTTTTAGAGTTAAAGGATGCTTGAATGCTTGAATTAAAGGCTGTGCTTAAATACTTATGTGAATTATAGTCTTGACTTGGTATGGCTGTGTAGTCATGCCTGAGTAATCTAATAGCAGTGAGTATAAACAGTAAATAATTCAGATGTACACAGTTCTTCCCCACAGACACTGAGTGGCTTATGTTCTTTATCCACTTGGTTTCCTGTGTTAAGATGTCAAGCAATTGCTTAGCTTCTTGAACTACTATGGCAAAGCCAATCTTTTTTACCATGCCTGCTGAATTATAAATAATGTTCATCTGATTGATAAAAAAAAAAACAACCTGAAAAGAAAACCCAAAAGACCCTGAAATGAGAACCTGTTGCACACAAACTATAAACAACCATTTGTTGTTTATAGTTTTGAGCAAGGTCCCCTATCTACTGCATATGCAAGTAGTGCAGAATTCCTGTTGCATTTTCAAACTGATTTACAGTTGATCTATTTTGCCAACAATATCCCTGTTCTCTTTATAATTATAGTACATGGAAAATATACCAATGTAGCTGATCCAGAGCCATTATTCTACAATTAGACTTTTGTACTGAGTATACAGAATGGTTTTTATATTCTTGTTTCACCTTAACCATCTTCCCTTTGAACCATCTGTTGAACAAGAGGGTTTATTCTCCTCCTGCTGTATCTGCATTATATATAAGCAGAAGATGCCTAACTGAGGTGTCCTTGAACTATCATTTCTCACAAGTTGTCAAGAATAGAACTGAAAATTTTTAGGGCTAGGTATACAGTGTATGGTTTCCTAGGAGACTGTAACATCCCTGAGTAGGGCTAAAATATCCTTATAGAGTATCTAATACTTGGTCAAGCCAGTACTTTATCTTGATGCCTCCAATATCTTACTTTACCTTTTTTTTTTTTTATGTGAAAACCTATGGAGAAGCATTTAACCCTTAAAATAACACAATATTAAGCAATGTAGAGACGTTAACTCCAAAACTGTCATAGTGCCTTTAGAAGAAAACCTAGCATATTTTCGTACTTGCTTACATTGATTACTGAGTTACAAATCAGACTAATAATTCTGTAATCACAAAGGTAAGACAGCACTGTATGAATTAAACATTGCTGTAAGGCTTCCCATGCAGTGGAGCATTCTGATGGGATTTTTGGGCCCAGGTAGAATATATGTGTCATTCTTGTGCTATTGGATTTTTCCCTTCCGTGACAAATCAAAATCCTGAACTAAAACTTCTGATTGTCCTTAGTTTATGAGGTTATTTTTACTGGAATTGTAAACCATCCTCAGAGAGTTAGTGACAAGTCTTAGTGCTGGGTTGGTTTTATCCATCACATTTCGATGAGTCCCCTTTTAGATGTAAAGAGGCAAAAAAATTCACTATCAGATTTTTTACTCTCAGTTTCTACAGGCTACTTTATAGCTTTCTTGCACTTTCTGTATTGCTGTTTTGCTTTCAGACAGAAGAGACAGTATAAAAGGGCTTACATTTTATACATCAATACTTCAATAGATTTAAAGTAGTCTTCTGTAGGCAATAATTATACTTAAAATGATACTTAATCAGGGTCCTTTTCAGCAGAATTTTACTTTTCTTACATTGTGAAATTTCCCCTTTTTATCCTGGCACATAGGTCTACCTCAAAACCATTGTGCAGTGATAGAAATTACTGTGAGACATCTAGGAAGGAAAATCAGTGACAAGAGAGTTTTCTGTGCTTATGATGTTTTTTTAATGCTGAGAAGGCTTATACATGGCATTTTTCTCTACGAAGGGAATCCTTCAAGCCTAACCATCACCCAAGAGTTGTACTTATTTTAATGCTTATCTTCTGAGCTCCCTACTTCTCTCCTTCCAAGGTCATTCATAAGGAATGGTCTCTTTTTACCAAAGCTCTTTTAGAGAAATTAGCAAGCTGGATCTGATAGATGGCTCCCCTAGCTAATGATCCCTAACTAATCAGGAGGAACTGCAGGGTGAGAGAGCAAGCAAACAAAAAGCTGGGAGAAATAGCCATGACATTCCAAAAAGTGCATAAGCCTTGTTTTGTGCTATATAAGTGTATTTCAATGAAGTGTTAGGAAAGAGTCATGCTTCACACCTTCTAGTGCACCTCATAGCTGAGCTATACTGCATAAGTGCAAAAGCTTTTCGGTCCAATACTTAACACAACATGACAGGGGAATGTTCTGCCTGTTCCTGAGTTGCTCTAGATAACAACCATGATATTTATACTTCTGGCTTGTGCACGGTGGTATTGTGCCATATTTGATGGGGAAGAATGGAAAACTGTTTTGCAAATGCATATGTCATTAGCTGCTTTTTTAGAATCATGCCTCCTCCCCATTATTAATATGAAATCATAAAGATTCTCATAGAAGTATAGTCTCAGATTTTGTATTATATTAGTGTGTTGCATGCATTTGGAGATAAGAATGACAAAATACCTGTTAGTAATGAAGTAGCATAAATAGAGAGGGTTTCATGATGGTAATTAATTTCCCCCCCTTGTAAGTAACAGTAATTGTTTTCATTAAGAATTTAAATTTAAAATATATGCACAAATTTTAGAATAAAAAAATTACTATTTTAGCTGAAAAAATTCTAGAATTGAGTCACTACAGCACCTTTAATTTTAACGTCTTGTGCTTGTGCGGTGTGAAATAGGGCACTGATAGAGGCTTATGGGCTTTAAGGATACCACTGGATGTTTCTCTCAGCTTCTGGTTGCTTTCCTTTTCATCCACTCCTGTAGCTGCTCCTGATTAGGTGGGGATCACATGCCCTTGATCGCTTATTGAATCCAGCTGATTAATTTCTCTATAAGAGCCCAGGTAAAAGGAGGCATTTTCTTAAAAGGGAGCCTGGTGGAAGACGGCTAGAGAGGTTATATAATCTGATCAATGAGATGTAAAGGAAAGCATAGGTTCTTGAGAACCTGAATAGGCTCGAAGGGTTTTGAAACTCTGAAGAGTACATTCTCTGCAAGAATGGGAAGAATAAATGTAGCTGAGAAGAATTGAAGGCTTTTATTTTCTGATTTTCTTTGTAGTGCTTTTATTAGTTCCCTGCTCTCTTACTGGAAGAGATAGAGGTATAGTAGCCTGAGGTAGGCACTAAGCAAGCCAAGTGACTGATGATGAGAACTAACTTGGGAATAAAAAGCTGGAATGGAAAGTCTGTGCTTTGCCAGGGAACAAGCAGATAATTTCTTTGGGGAAGCACAAAGTGACCAGTTTCTGAAAGCAACTCCACAGTGCTGTAGCGTCAGAAACACTGAGTACATCTGTCTTGTCCCTAGGAATGCAAGGGTGTTGAAGGAGCCTAGAGCAAAACATCTGGTTTCCTTATTGTTTCTTCTGGAAAGCTGGACACCTTAAACTTCAGTACTAAAGTTTAATTCTGAAAATGAGTGGGTGCTAATCTAAAGTAACTCAATAACCAGGTTCCTCATAGTGATTGAAAGGCATGTTGCTGGAATTGATCCATCTGTTCATAATTTTGCCATGGAAAAGAAAGGTCTTAATTTACAATCAAAATTTTTCTATATGAAAAGGCTTTAACCTGACTGTGCGTCTTTATAGAGGAAAGTTAGATGAATTGGATGACTTCAGAGGAGCATTTGAATCTTGTTGTTTGTACCTTTTTCTTGTTTTTGTATTGGAAATAACAGGACTATTGGTAAAGACATTGCAAGAAATTTCTTTGAGGTGTTCCAGGCACAGTGTACTAAATGAAGTTCAGTGTAACATTTTCTCTTGCCTTTGTAGTACACTTTTTGCTGTCAGTTTGAGGCAAATAATTGTTTTGTTTTGTTATAGGGAAAGGTGAACATGGGAAACCGTACCCTCTTACAGAGGAAGACCATGATGATTCTGCTTATAGGGAAAATGGCTTCAACATATTTGTTAGCAACAACATAGCACTGGAACGATCCCTGCCAGACATCCGACATCCTAAGTATGTAAACTGTTTCCTGGACTAATTAATTTTTAGAGTTCTATCTTTGTATATCTCTAAATAAGTGGTTTTCCAGGAAGATAAAACATAAACAGTCAACAAAAAACAATCATTTCATTTTATAGGAAGTGGAAAATTTACCGCTGTTGTTAGATTTGTCTTTTTGTTGTTAGCTCTGTCTTTTAAAGGGACTTCTCATCTGATTAGTTACACATTAAGCCTATAAAAGGCCTCTTTTCATTACAGAATGATTTTTATTAAATTTCTGTGTAGTGAATTGGGCTGAAAAGCATTCACATAGTTTCTCATGTTCTCATTTGGTTAATAGCTGCAGTTCTTTGGGATGTGGAGCTGAGTGACAACATGTATATAGTTTTTGGCTGTGTATGTGAAGTGTTTCTCCTGTTTTGTTACATAAAATTTTAAAACAATCCAATAGGTGCTAAGTGCTGACGATTCAGCTTTAACCACTATAGAATTATGTAAAAACAGAATGTACATGATGCACAGGCAGAATCTGGGGGCACTGGATGATGGTGTTGTTCCCCAAATCATTAATATAACACAGAGAAAGGGTATGAAGGTTATTCTGGAAAACAACTACAGCAAATCTAACTTCACTTTTCGTGTTCTTTAATATTTGGCTCCTTTATACAAAGAATAGAACTTTCTGTCTGTGACAGGAAAAGGGGTGCTTTTGTTTTTCCTGGCTCCAGGCTCTTGTCCTTCAGAGTGATTCTAAATCTGAACTCTGAAGAGGGAGCTGATTTGATTTGTGTCCTTACCTGGCATTTTCCCCCTCTTGTAATTGGGGAAATGTAGTTGTTATGCAACTAGTGTATGGGGAAAAGACAAAACTAATTGCCTCCATGACTGTCTTTGTAATTTCCTTCAGATACAATTCTCTCTATTATACAAAGATTCATGTTAAGATATCATCCCACTTCTTAACTTATTTTGATATGAAAAGCTCAGAGAACAGAGCTGAACTTCAGAGCTTGACAGAAGTTCTTAGTGCAGGGAGAAGAGAAACATCCTGGCAACTTATCTGTCAAATGTGCTATTTTTTTCAAAGAATGAATAGTACATAAATATTTGCATAGTAAGAGTTTAAAAAAAGAAATTCACTGCAGAGGAATTAACCTTTTGTTAGAGATGTTTCTAATTTAGTTTTAACTGTTAATTGTCTAATTTAATTGTTGCATTGTTTTGAGAAAAAAACTTTTTCTTTGTAAGCAATATATTAGTATTGTTTGCAAACATTAAGTAAAAAGAAATTGTTATATTGTTATAACACACTATATGTTTTATATACATTCTTTGCTTTCTGCTTTGACTAATTACATGAAGTTATATAATGAATGCTTCCAAGAAGTTTGAATTCTAATGTACAGCTGTATAATATTGAAGCTGTGGTAGGTTATATTGTCAGTATAATAAATACGTTCATTAAGTAACCTCCTCTGTTACCAAAACTGCCGAGGATAATGACTAATAAACACAAAAGGAATCTGACAGTTTTGTCATCCCTTGGTGGTTTTGTAAATTGGTCTTTTGGCAACTTCTTTCTCACCTGCTGCTGTCCTCACAGTCCCTTGACATTTTCATGCATGTTCCCAGAAGCAATGTGCTGTCAGAAGTGGCGCATTAGGAACGAGTCAGTGCCACCCCAGCCTTTCTCTGCCCTCTTTTTCCCAGCACAAATCTTTCTTTGACTTGCACCTAAGCATCTCATTTGGGAAGCTTGTATCCTTAGGTGCCTGCATTGTTTCTAGGTTCTGATTCAGCTCGGTTCCTCTGGCATTCAGTGAAATTTCGTATGGCAGGTGTTTTAATAATCTCCTGACTGAACTGACTTGAGTCACAACCTTCTAACCTTCCTTATGTTAAACACTCATAGTACAAGTAGCCCATTAGTTAATTGACTGTATCACTTACCATCTAAAGGTAAAGAGAAAAAATGTTCTTGTGCTATAATTGCCTACTAAGTAGTGCATCAATTAAGGTGACAAAGCTGGGCTCAATACTTCTGATGGCTATACCTTGAAGCAAGTGTGTTTTTTGAACTTCCAAGAGACACGGAAATCTGGCAATGCTTTCTGACCTACTGCTAGAAACAAACACATTTCTTGGCTGCTGTGTGTTAAGTATGGCCAGGCTGAAACTGCACTTCACTTTTGGAAATGTCTCCTCTCTTCAGAAGCGTGCGTGAAATGCAAAGTAGTTCACATGTCATTGTACTGGTTTTGGCTGAGGTAGAGTTCATTTTATTTGTAAATTTGCCTGTCATCCATGCTAGAGGCTGGGGCTAAACTATGCCACTAATAGAGTTGCTTTCAGACAAACTGTTGGAAAATTATGTAATTGCTATCTGAGAAAAGGGTGCTCTTCAGTAGCATTGTAGTAGCTAAATCAGGTGTGGTGTAGCAGGCAGGACTAGTTTGGCCAGTTTTTGAATGTTATAAAGGGTCTGCTGTTGTGGAGCTTCTAACTGCTTTGAGGCCTTTAGCTGTCATCTGTGTAAATTTATGGGAGATGCTAGTATTATACACTTTGAGTTTTGATCCTCTGTCTCTTTTTAGTGTATTCTATTTGCACAGGGAAAATTGTTTTCTTCTGCTAAAGATGGATTTCTTGAAAATACTGTCTATGAAATGTTTTATAGAACCAAACCGAATGGTTTTATTGCCATCAGTAGAGAAAATTCAGAAAAATTAACCTTCAAATGCAACAAAATGGAGTGGTAAATCCTGTAATTTGAATAGAAGTTTCTTTATATCAGAACAGCAGCTGCAGTATTTTCTACATTCTTCTAAAATAACTTCAAAAATATTTTATTCCAAAGTCAAACCAAAGAAACTTTAAGAACCACTTCCAAGTGTTTGGTTTTCTGGGAAGTATGCAAAGACAGCAGAAAAAAACAAATATACTTTCTTTTTCTGAATTTATTTGGAAATTTGGCTTGGAACTTGAAAATAACACCTTCTGTAGGGGGATGGTTAGAACTAAACAAATATTTAGATGATTGAGCCCTGAGAAATTCAGGTTTTCAAATCTGTTTAATAATACTCTTTTGTTTTTCCTATAATATTTTAAATACTTCAGCATGACATCAGTGAGATGTTATGATTGATTGTTCTTCCCTTTCTAAGACAGCAAAATGTTTGGGCTGTAAAGAAAAAGTCTGTAGCGAAGTGAAAGAGTTAACTTTTGTTTTAAGGCTGAATTGTCCTTTCCTGCGTCTTTAATATGTTTTTTTGCATCCTTCTAATATCTCCCATGGTAATTTTTTTTCTGTGTCTCATAGCTGTGCTCAAAGAATGTTTTTTTCTTTTTGAGTGGTCTTTGATGTCCTGTTTCTGTTCCACTCTTCTGTGAAAGCCTTGGCATAGTGGATGCCAAGCTACATTAGCTAATTCTCTGTTCTCTGCCCACAATCACCTGTGTCTTTAAGTTTAAACAAAGAAACAATCAAGCAAAATGACTTTTTTTTTTTTTTCCCTAATTCTAAATAACAATCTGAAAGAGACTTATCACCTCAGTTTATTTGGTTTCAGGACTTGTTTAGTGAAAAGAAAAGCTCTGGTCACCCAAAGAGAAAGTCAACATTGAGTTTTGAATAGTATTGAGAAAAAAGAAATGGCATTAATATTTAGGGATTAGAAATTCTGTACCAATGTAAGAAATATTTTAAAACTCACAAGAAGAGTGTTTTCACTCTTTCAGTACTTGGTGCCACTTTGTGTAGTCTAGAATACAACAAACCTGCTAATGCTAGGGAAAAAGTTGGCAGTATTTTCTATTGTAGAAAGAGAAATGCTATGTATTCTAATGCTGAATGTACCAGTTGAAATTAATTCTTATCTTCTCCACATTATCAAATATTCTGCTATTCATACCATCTTTGTTCAAACAAACAAAACTGAATCTGATTCGCATTTTTAATAGCTCTAAATGTGATTTTAATGAGGCTTAGGGGAAGGATTGCAATCCTCTCTTGTGAACAGTAAATATAAATTTTGTGACCTATCCTGTTTCAAGCTCCTAAGTCTTTTTTATACTCGACAATCCCTTTTTTAAGCTTTTCATTATTGAATCAAGCAATTCAAGTTAGTCACAATTAAATACCAATACATTTGGTATTAGAAATACATTTGCAAGCTTTATAATTTAAAATACCTTGTTTTATATGTTTGTATATCTTAATTTCAACAGCAGGTCTCCTTTTATCAAAAATTTGTAGACTAATTACTGGTAATAATATCCTGGAGTGCATCAAAAATAACCTTGTGAGCCAGGCAAGGGAAGGGATTGTCCCTGTGCTCTGTGCTGGTGCAGCCTCATGTTGAATCCCATATACAGTTTTGGGCACCACAAAGTAAGAGAGATAGAAAAGCTATTGGAGAGCATCCAGAGGAGTATTATGGAGATGAGGCACCTAAAGGTGAAGCTGTATGAGGCGTGGCTGAGGTCACTTGGAGGTCTATGTTCAGCCTGGAGGAGATGGAGACCTCATTGCAGTCTGCCCCATGAGGGAGAGAAGAAGGGTAGGCATTGATCTCTGTTCTGTGCTTCCCAGTGACAGGACCCTAAGAAATGGCATGAAGCTGCATCAGGGCAGATTTAGGCTGGATATTAGATCAAAGGTGTGTTTTACTCAGAGGGTGATCAGGCATTGGATCAGGCTCCCCAGGAAAGTGGTCACAGCGCCAAGCCTGACAGAGATCAAGAAATGTTTGGAAAATGCTCTAAGACAAATGGTGTGATTCTTGGAGTTATCTTGTGCAGGGCCTTAATGATCCTTATGAATCCCTTCCACCTCAAGCTATTCTATGGTTCTATGATTCTATGTCTTGGGTAGTCTTAGATCAGTCGTGCAAATACTCCCTGGCTTGCCTGAGTAATCTATCACAAAAAATCTGAATCTACTAAGGTTTCTCTGGGCATAAATAGATTTGTTTGGTAATGAAATTCGTAGCATTCTTGTTGTGCATTAAAAA